TATGTAACGCGTTATATTTCTTTTACCTTTCTTATTCAGGATTGGCAAATCAATGCTGTTAACCTTAACGATGATTTCTTGCTTGAGTACAAACTGGCCATGGAGAAATACCTCGAAAGAATGTCTCGTTATTCAGAAATTTTCGTCATTGATCGGAGTAATACGGATATCTATGATGATAATGATCTCCTAATTGTTAGTTTTTTCATTGACATCGTCTTAATATTTTTGAAATGTTCGTATGTATTTTTTCTGCCTTGTTATCGTTTAGACCATGGAAAAATTAATTGAGATTGACTATGAGGGTGAACGTCTTATTCGGGACGACTACAAATTTCTTGAATGGAGAAATGGTCTCTTTAATGAACGGGCCGCGTCGTATCATCGCGAAAAGTGACATTTGCTTCTCACATTTTACGAATTTTTTAGATTCTCCTCTGTGGGCCTCAAGTTCATGTCTCTATTCAAGAAATTTCATATGCCACTAGATTTGAAGGAAGGAATCTACACTTTTGATGCCAAGGAAATGCAGCACCATATATTCAAGAGGGTGTGTTTACTGTCACAGAATTTTTTTTCCTTCCTAATTGGCTTATATATACCTTTCGTTTTTCTACCTTAGGATCCGAGACTTAAGTATGCTCCCGGTTATGATCCCTCGAAGGACAGTCTGGCACGAATCCTCTTTGATCCCTACGTGGAAGCCCGTAATTTCCGCAAGGATTGGCCCTCTTACTTCCTTACCTTCTATTAGTCCAGTATCTCCATTACGCCCCTCCTCCTTCCGTTTCTATGTAGGAATTTGTAGAAATTCGAAAAAAAACTGCAACAATCAAACGAAGTATACTGTCGTTTGTCATGTTCATAAACAAACAAGCGTACAAAATAGCTATGGATCTCTTATGCGCAAAGCGTATATTCCGGGTTCATTGATAATTTCAACATAGGGGATTTTCATGGCCATTAATAGAACTTCCTCTACTCCGGCAGATATTGCTTTCATGCGGGGAAAGTTGAGTATTGAAAGAATGCTTATGTGGCCTCCATTTTCTTTAAAGCGTTCGCTATTTCTCATGTTATTTACGTAGTGCAAGCTACATAATGAAAATTGACGAAATGCAAAAAGGCGAATAAGACTTACAGGAAGTGGTAAATGTATTCGCATCTATTGTTGAATAGGTAGTAAAGGTCTCGAGAGTGATTCGCCGTCGCGAATGCTCGTCCATCATTTAATAAGCCGCATTCAGGTCTTATATCCATTAAACGTTGACCTGGAATTAGCATCCGCAGCAGCTCCCATTGAATTTCCGTCCCACAGATGGTTGCGCTATCCAAGTCGTTCATCATTCAACCTAAAATTATGAATTTTTGATCTTTATATATATATGCTCTTAGGCTACGGTTTACCTACTTCTTAGTTGAGTTCTTAGTCAATATTTGATCGAAAATCTTTCATTTGAAATTTTGCTTTATTCAAATGTGAGTGGAAGTTGATAGCGTGTCTGGCCTTTTTAAATTACCTCTTAGTAGTAAGCCTGAGTGGGTAACTGGGCAACGAAAAATATTCATTTTTACTAAACCTGAACGCAAGAGTGATTCACAGACGTAAAAGAGATCGGCAGATAAAAAGGCAAGGTGGGGTGAGCACTGCTGAAAAATCTGAATATGTCACACAGTCGGGTTATGACAGGTTGAAGCCAGTTGCTGGTTTATGGACATATTTGCCGTATAATTAAACGTTGCCCCGGGGTGTACCACTTGGAGGTAATTCTATCGCATCCTCCTAGCTCAAGATATTGGATGATTAACAGCTTAAATACTAACCCCCTCCCGAAAAATTGGTTATTTTTTTGTTTACTCGATGTATGTCAGTTACTCTGAGAGATGTAGGGGTTTGCTGCACTAAAAAGCCTTGAATTTTTCTTAGAAATGTATAACTGAAATGCCTGGTTTGGAATGGATCTCACAATTAGTTAAGCTATAGAGGAAACAGACATTGCGTGGAACACGTTTATTTGGGGTGTTTGTTGTCACAGAGCTTAGCTGTTGAATTAGAAAAGAGGGCTTGATAAATCACTCGATGACTATTTATTATCCTCTGGCTTAGAGGTCCCTACGTAATAAGTGGCATGACAGCACCTTTATATCTGTCTGAGTGCACATGAGAATTCTTTGTCCAGTCATGGCAGTGTTATGCACGCTACGATCTCCTCTAGAGCTTTGACATGAGGGTAAAGAGATAGAGATAATTGCATAATACACATATTCGTCCAATCGAGAGGACAAGGTAACTCCTCCTTTCGCGTCGAGCGTAGGAAGGTTTGGGTCGAGATGTGGAAGGTTTTCGGTTGATCGGGTCAACACTATATACGAGCAAGGACTGCAATGGTAGAGTAGAAGCGCGCGCAGCATCTTTTGAGGATGTAGCAGGAATATTAGACGGGTGTGTTCTAACAACGGGTACAGATGTATCAAGCTAAGGGTCAGAGTGGAGAGAGCGGTAATTCTCCGGTGGGGGGGGGGGGGGGGGGGGGGGAAAANTTCCCGGGGGGGGGGGGGGGGGAGGGGGAGGAACAAGAGGGGTTGTATAACAACTCTTATTGAATCTCTGGCATCATTGTGGTCAAGAATGAAATAGTTCAGGTTTCGTTTGAAGACTTTGTAAGGTCCGTCGTACAACGGCTGCAGAGGTTTCCTGACTATTTCGACCCAAACAATTCCATGGGGTATATTTATAAGTCTTGATTAATTTGTGCAGGTTTACCAATCGGATGAATGGTTAAGGGACCAACAGACCGGAAATAACCTTTCAGTAGGGCGGAATACGACAAGGGATCTATAGAGACTTTGTCTTGGAAGTGGAAAAGCATCTCACCGAGTAGTCTAAGTGTTATACCGATTACGAGTTCTGCAGGTTAGCATCCGAGATCTACCTCAATAATATTTCTAATTGCGAGAAGAAGGGCAGAAGGCGTTCCGACCAATTTAAACCAGATGAATTCGAGATCGTAGCTAATTTTAGCCGTTGATGAAAGCATACTACGAGGCCATCAGGAGGTAGTGCGGATGAGAGTTGAGCCCAAGAGGTGACTCAACTCCCGGAATAGGACAGAAGTGAATTGCGATCCACTATCTGTCATGATTACAGTTGTAGCCCCAAATACCGATATCAAAGATTCTACTAGGACATTATCCACAGATGCTGATGAGGTAACGCCTATGGGAATTGTAATTGGCCAGCCTGAGAAACGATCAATGCAGGTTAGGAAGTGAGTGAAGGAGTTTACTGGAAGAAGAGGACCTACAATATCAACATGAATATGCCAAAAACGGGCCTCGTGAAGATTCAAACACTCAAGTGGACTTCAAGTATATTTTTGAACTTTGCTTAATAAGTGTGATACCTTTTGAACCACCTACGGACATCTGGTCGAACTTTTTTCCATATGAAACGATCAGTGATCGGTTTGGTTGTGGAACGAAGGCTATTATACGAAACTCCATGGAAATGGACGAAAATCTTCTGGTGGTGTGCTTGCGTGACGAAAGGTCTCGACTTGCCGAATGAAACTTCGAAATGGATTGTGTATAAGTAATCATTCGAAGTGTAAAGAAGGGCTTGGCAGGATTACCGTTAATATTGGGTCTAACTTTTGTTCGATAGCCTGGTGGAGACGTTACTGTAATTTGGTTCAGTTTTAATCGGCCATTACATTGGCAACAACATTAATAATACCGTTAATATGCCTGGTATCGCTGGTGAATTGTACGATAGAGACCAAATGTTAATTTCTCTGGGGCCGGGGGGGGGTTAGGTTAATTGTCCGTGAGTGCTTGAAAAGTCTAAATTAAGATCTTGTGAACATGATGAATTGCCATGCTTCCAAAATATGTCGGAAGTGTTTGTCAGAATGGTAGGAAGTAAATTGTCCCCGGCAAAATGTGCTAACAGTGTTTCGGTTGGGTTGAGCTTCTTGAAGAAAAAGGATGCAATTCTTGCCATGCAACGTTACTTAAGGACTGAGAAGTTTCCCCACCCACTGTCGCTCACTCCAAAATGTTCTAGCAAGAATGATATTCTTTTGATCCGGGGTGTGCGATAGACTTACCTCCACGTAGTGCATCCTGGGCAACGTATATTCATACGACAAAAAAGTCTATTAACTGGCAGTTGACTTCTCACTTCAAACTACCATCACCTCACTCTATGCCATATTCGACTATTTCCACAGTACTCACCTCACCTTTGTTCTACCTTTGTGTTTGCCTCTTACATCTTTGAAACACCCTTCTGTCCCCCCCCCCGTTGGCTTTTTCAATTTGATGTTCCTTCTCCTCTGTGAAGCTTGAAGTCAACTAAAGGGCTAATGATAAATATCATAAAGCCTGCCATTTGATATAAATAAATAAATATTCTTTCGATCCTTCTTGAGGCAAATATGCGAAATAATTTATTTTTTATTTCTAGTGATATTAACGTAGGCAGAAAACTTTTCCCTTCGATTGAAATTTCTCAATTTTCTGTATGGAACCCTAATGGATAAAAGTACTTTTAACCTGCTAATTAAAAAGATATAATCAATAGCTCAAAGTACTCCCCACTACAACGTATAATGGATGTAAAGAATACTTATTTATACCAAATGACAGGCTTTTTGATGGTTATCATTAGCCCTTCAGTTGACTTTGGACTTCACAGAGGGGAAGAACATCACATATGTAATGGAGGCAGACACAAAGGTAGGGTAAAGGGTAGATGAGGTGAATACTGTGGAAGTGGTAGAATATGGCATCCAGTGGGGTCATGGTAGTTTGAAGTCAGGAGTATACGTTGCCCAGGGTGCACCACGTGGAGTTAAGTCAATCACACACCCCCCAGTAAAGAATATAATTTCCCAAAGAACTCTAGGCAGAAAATTCTTAATTTGCAAATTTTAAGTATTCAGAAATGAGGAACGAGAAAACCACCATCTTTGTGGGGTGGGGATTAAGATCAACGAAAGATTTTGTGTCGAGAAGTGCTAGCTAACCACAGTTAGCGTCACAAATCACCAAATTAATTCCACACTCTAGGCTTCGTTTGCATATGACCCTATGTCTATGTCGATGCACTCGTTGTTGATAGATTTTCCCCCCAAGGGAAATAGTCGATATCGGGATATGTGGGTCGGTGGGTGGGGGGGGGCGGAATATAAGATAAAAAGAAGTCTTCAAGTGTATAGCGTCGAGAAATTCTCAAAAGCAGAGTAGGACTTTGGCCGAGTAATTCTTCAATTCAAGCAAGTGTTCACTGATTTCCCTAATTGGTTTGCGTGTTAGCAGAATTGTTAGACTCCTTCCAATTTACTAGTGTCAAAGTAATAGTTAACCTACTAAATTAAACAATAATCGAGAGTTCCAGATGTGCTATATGTGGCGGAAAAGTCGTTGGTGCGGCATTCCAAATGACACATGAAAAGAGACAAGAAGGTAAATAAAGTGCGAAATTTCCTGGAATAAGACTATTCAACGAATTCGAGCACCTTTTGAAGTTGTGCTTATTCAACAAGTGTACATGATGAAATGCGACGTAAGCGACTGTTGCTAGCGTGTCACAAACCTTAATTTGATACTGGGTCGGTTTCATGTTAGTTTTATAAATTTGACGTATTGATTTATTAAATAGAGTCGATGTGATTAATTTGACCATTACTCTTGAAATGCTAAAGAATCGCATACAATTTAGTAATTGACTGAATTCTAACTGAGATCTCTGGTCATAGTTGCACTGTTTTTGACGTTTTTTTGTCGTTTGCCAATGAAGAAAAACAAAGGAAATAAAGCTATCCTCTTTGAAGTGTCCTGTAACTTTGTTGTGTTTTATTGGAGTATCCAATAAAGCGGAATGAAGCGTTGTCATTTCAAAAATTGCACTTCAGTTTCAGTTTTAATTTAATCCTGTTAGATAAAAGACTCTCGCTAATCAATGCGTCCCCCATGCACATCTTTTTAACGCTATTTTTATTATTTAAATAGATATCGCGTAATTCAACCAACTTCATGTAATATATGTTAAGCCCAAGTTATATCAGATGAAGGCTATAGAGAGACGTATTGGACATGTTTAAAATGACAATAGCGTCTTGTCACGAGTTTAGTATCAATGGAGTTAATTGTGAAGATGCCACCAGAGGTGTGTACCCACATACTGAATAACAGTTTGTAACCCTCCAGACACGTCATTACTGAAGGCTTAGATCCACGCAGACAGTAAACTCGCCATCGAATAAGAAAGTTGGCATTACAATCAAATAGCATTAGCACAGTGTATAGCAATAAAAACCATGAACACCAGGCATGCTGAACCAAATGGTAATGACCTTTGACACAAATGATCTCTTCTAAGCTTCGTACTCCTTAATTCTAAGCTCTTCCACCTTTCATGCATCCCAGGAACCAAGAAATTCACAGAATTCTTCCCAGTGTCTAGAAACTTTGTGGCTAGCAGTTATTGAGGTGGTGGTTAATTAGGATTGTGGGACTTCCCAATTCAAACCATCTCTCTAGCAAAAATCTAGAAAGTAGGATGATAAGCTTTATACCTTGCAAAGAAAAAAAATAACCGTGATACGCACATAAGCAACATCAATTAATACACATAAAAAACAAAAGTACAAATAATCCGTATCTGTTATGTTTCATTCCATTGAAAGGAGAACCGCATTCCATGTGAAAAGCCAGAGAGGAACGACACCCAAAGACAGAATGGACCAGCTCCATGATCCTAAAACCGACGCTTCCATATGAGCCTGACAAAGTACTTTTCCACAAATTTCCTGAAGGTCAACAAGAGAGGTTATCTTTTTGAAGGTTGCAGGTGGATATTGCGAAATGTGTGGATGCAGTTGGGTCACCAAGACGACTAAACTTGGTGGTGAAACTGCCAGAAGCGCTAATATTGCGAATATTCGATAAAGCCTTCTAAATGTAAATATGAAGTAGACATAGTTAACACAAGGAAAAAGTTGGCAATTGCTAAAATCGCAAGCAAGTTAACTTACGGGGGCTTGCTCAAAGAAATGATTAAAAGAATCACTGGTTCAAGCACTGTCAACAGGAGGAAAGACGTCGATATATTCAGAGGAGAAAGACAGCCAAGAAAAGCAGACCATAATAAAGCTGCCATTGCACAGCTTAGACGCCATTTCTGACAATAACCAAGCCATGGACTAAAATGTGATTGGTTAAACTGCTGATTCATTCTCCTACCTTTTAGTGACTGAAGCTAAAACTGGGAGAAAGAGAGCCAAGCCCAATGTAATCACAGCAAATGATGCAGCAACTGACAACTCAGTAGTTTTCCAGACCGTGCTTGGATCTTCAATTGATAGTGGAACCAAACGTGAGTAGACAAATTCCGGCAATTCGTAGATTATAGCTCCGCCAGAAAAGCAGAGTGCAAGAGAAGTCAGGGCGGGAAAAATGTCAGTAGCAATTTCCCTGACAGGAATGCCTGTTCGAGGTGGCTCCTCGTCAATTATATCAGCAACCTTATTAAGGGTCTGGTTTTTAAAACGTTGTCTCACATCAGCTTCATTGGATTCTTCTTTGTTGCGGTCATTTAGAGTAGAAGAACAATCCTTACGTGGTTGAGCAATTGGCTTTGTTCGGATAGAGTGATGTGCCTCTGGAACAGTGAGCTCTATATATACTCGGAATACCTAAAGTCATTTGAAATATGCATATTACTCATTACTGGTTAGTACCAATTCTATACAATAATGCTTACTAAAATATCATTCGGTTAAAGTGAAATGAGCTACACGTTAGTCTCGTAATAACTATGATAAAAATATACAATCAAATATGAAGTTTTCAATGCCCTTGGGAATCAGTAAAACTGTGTTAAATTAAAAATTTTACACCCACTTGGAGTTCAATCCTATGATGCTATATTAAAATACATCCTTGGAGAAACCTTTCTTCGTGATAATGAAGATTCTATTCGGGAATGTTAAATAAACTTGAACCCTAGTTAGTATTCTGAACCTTTGAATTAACTAACCTTCTACCACTATCGATTTTTTGTATTTCCCCGGTAAACACACAGAGACTGCTGTCAATAGTCTGTTTGTCCTACCTTGCAGTCAAGAAAGAGAGAAATCAAAAGAGAACACAGGTTAAAAAAATTGGGCGATAAATCAAATACTTGGCTGCCAATTCTTTCTAAATCTCTTTATTCAAAGTTGAATGGTTAGCTAAAATTGACATTGATCGATACTTATGATCAGTTTGTATTCGTTAAATTAACGTTTAATCAGAAGCATAAATGATGGAGTTAAGACACTTCTTAAATAAAAATAATATGACCAATTGTAAATATAACCGACTAGTCCGAGTAGAGGTGTCTAAAAGCGGAAAACTCGCATCTTGTCAACTCGCATTCTATTAACAAGAATTAGCTGTGGCATTTGGTCATCAACAAAACAGGATGTGCTCTGTTTGGCTTCGATTTCGTGATCTCTGACTCCGTAGACCCTCACAATGATCATTGCACCACAGGCGCTAATATGTTAACTACTACTTAATCAAATGACAAATTCCCAACATTTTCGATAACGGAATGACAAGTGTTAAAAATCTATAAGAAGAAAAAACGTTAATCCAATCAGCGATACTCACTTGAACGAGTATTCCAGCTAGAGCAATACAGAAGAAAGGCGTGTAAACGCCAATCGATATATAATGCCAAATGTCGGGTAAAAGGTAATAGTAAAAAGACTGATGCATTCGTTCCTGGAGGTTATTCAAACATCTCAGGAAGCCTTCAATCAGACTAAAAGTGAAAAAGAGAGAAACGGGTAAACTCAAGGTAAAGGTAGTATTCTTTAAATCACCAAAAATACCTTCCAACTTGACGCACAAATTGCGCGTTGGGCTTCTGATTAGTGGACGAAATACCACGAAGTGTAAGGCAAGGAATCTGAAAATTGATCAGAGGTCCATGAAGACCAGAAGGGGAGCCGGAACCTTGAAGCCAAATCGACGAGATGAGTTGCCGAATATTCGGTAGAGGACTTGAATGGATGAAACCCTGGGGCTGGAATAAAAAACAGATAAATTTTAAACAAGAGAACCTACCTGTCCATGTAGTGATAGTGGAATGCCATGTTTTCTTGCCAAACGAGCAACCGTATTTATTAAATCCAGGTTTGGTAATTCGCCATTAATACCCTGATAGGATACATCTAATTGAGCTAAATTGAGTGAAGGAAATTCAAGAGCAATTCCAGCCTGTAGACTACCTGACCTTCCGTCAAGTTTGGAGCCCTGAACAACTAAAATTCTGTAAAATAGTGGCTATCTTATTTACTTGTTGAGGTAGTTACACCATGGTATGCATCCAACCAGGCAATTAGTCCTACGTATTCCATATCAGGAAATAGAAATATGATATCCTTAGCCCAATAAAGCTGTGCTATAGAAGATAAAATTTAAAAGACGAGAAACCTACAACTTAGTTGTTTTGCTAAAGAAATAAGATATGTATAGCTTCCTGAAATAGTTTCCTCAGATTCTCCAGAGCCTCTAAGTGGTGCCACGATAACAAGCGCTTCAGTCCGACTTCCACTACGAGAACGCATAATTGCATACAAATTTGAACTTGAGACATTCTAAGACCACCATAGTTTAATAAAAATACACGCCAAATTACTCCCAGTCCTTGAAGAAGTTTGTGTGAAAAGGTAAACTTTTGTTCGAAGACCTCCAAACCCAGACCTTCCATTTCTTGACGGATCTTTGCAGCGGTCTTTATTTTGTCTTCTTTGATGTCATCAAACGCCTTTATGTTAGTTGTTACGCTTGCGTCTGGTTTATATGTTTCATCAACAAGACCTAAACATTTAATGAAATCTATAGTGTACTTAACCAATCAATAGCGCATTTTCACTGACATATGTCTCGTAGTTGTATTCCGGTTGGGATAAAGCTAGCAGGCCAACGATCCCGACAATGAAGCATAAGAGACTTAATGGCTTAGAATACCTCAAGCTACGCTTAATTAACCCAACCAACATCCCAATATGCCAAATACAAATTAGCCGATAGCGTCGACAACAATTTAAAAGAAAATTCAACTCTATAATAATTAAAAGATTTCTGTATATTACTATTACTACTTTAATATAAAATATTGTGTCTTTAAAAAGGCACGGTTTTTGTTTTCTTAGACAATCAAGATAAATATGAATTAATTCAGGGTTATTAAAGCGTTTAACACACTGCAGTTTACTTTAACTCAAATAATTCAAAATCCCGATAAATTTTTTGCACTTTACTTTTGTTACGGGAGACATATTTTATGGTAGTTGTGTGATAATGGTATGTAAAGACTCTTTGCCTAGGTTCTTTAACAAAAACATCAATTTGATCCGTTTTCTTATTTTCTATTTCCATCTTATCCAGAACCTAGGATTGTGCTGGCACAAAAGTTAGAACATATTTTGGTTAGCTAATCCTTTTGTGGAATAATATGACCTTTATTTTTAATATGGAGTATTCTTAGTCTGAAACAACATTATTATCGGTGACGCAGTGATCAATTTGAGGTGAACGTAATCGCCACACGATTAATTGAACACCCCAACATTATGGAGAGGTCGACCGTATGTGCAGAACACCGCCTTGATATTCAACTAATAATGTTCACCCAAATTATGCTAGATTTATTTGATAGTTAATATTTTCCGATATCAGAATTGAAATAAACGACTCGCTTTCAGAGCATCTTCCTCCTCCATATAATCGTGACAGCCTTTCCTACTAAGATTTGCCAAATCCACTTCAGCCAGAGTAGAGTTCTCAGGATTAATGTCAGCGGACACACAGCGCTAATGATTTTGGTTAGAAAAGTTTGAATCACGATGGCTTAGCCTCATGCAGGCTAAATATTGGCAAGTTTTCATGAAAGTGTCAATTATAATAATGTACATTACTAGCATTCGAATATATACAATAGCCGTAAGTTCCGGGTAATGTCAAGAAAACGATCCAATGTTTTTATTATTTTTTCGTAGAAAATTAAATATTGTACAATTATAATAAGGTGATTAGCAGGGTCATAAGAAAGCTGTTATCATGCATTCTGTGCAAATGTCGACAGCTCACATCTCGAAATCTGGCTTGTAAGCCATCCTTTTTCACAATTAAGGTTTTCTAAACTCTCTCAGGGACCACTGAATTAAAAAGGGGACAGAACCAACTAGCCCTTCTGTCTAAGTAAGTAATGTGAACTTGGAAATGGGAGCTAAACACGAATCATCGCATCATAACAAATTTCTAAAAGTTTTGGATCTATTTAGGATATGAACAAGACGTGCAAACAAGTAGAAACCGTCTCGCTTAAAACAGAATAACAGCCACTCATGATTGACAATTCAATTACTTACAAAAGGGATGTACAAAGTAAATACAAAATAAGGAGCAGTAAAAAGGCTCTTAAGAAGTAACAGCTTTAACAATATTGGACCAAGGCCCAATGCGACCCAAAACATCAATTCCGCGAATAACAAAGAAGTGCACATTGTTTGGAGGCAAATTAACTGCGACGAAATTGAAGGGCAGTTGTGACGCTGTGATGACAGCAATCTAAAAATAGTTAAGAGTTAATAAACGCTTAAAAAGAACTTGCCTTAGACCAAGCTATTCCGAGATGAATACGCATGGAATCATTGCCAGTAGGAGTGAAGGAAAAGAGTTCGTAAGTTGAGGCCGGCTGAAAAGTTGCTACAGAAAAGCACGGATCCAATTCGCCCCTAATAGATATGCCTAAGAAAAAGGAATAGCTTGAAATAAGTCAGCGTACCACCATCAACTGCAGAGGCTAAAAGCTTAATAGCAGGCTGTACAGGAAGAATTAGAATATTCCCATCAATTTGAATAGCTGTGTTTGGTTGGATATATGGAGGCAAAGGAGGCGGCTCTACGGTGAAAGGATCGAAAGAATAACGAACGACCGGAGATTTAGGATGACTCGCATTAGAAGCGCCAGGTTTAGCGAGAGAGGAGCGAGACATAAGTCGATTAACAAGATGTGGAGGTAATTTCTGTTGCTTAGAAGCTTCAAGAATATTATTTTCGTCGACTTGAACAACCTTTAAAAGCAGGAATTAGCATTCACAAGACCAAACCTGTTCGGGAACTTTTTTCTTAGCATCTTCGACAATATTTACGCATTCTGACAGCGTTTGCTCCAATTCATTTACTTCGATAAGCATTTGCTTGCATTGTTGGGATGACACAGAGACCAAATCAAGAAGCTCGTTGACGGTTGGATCGATATTCTTTTTAAAATTGTTTTTAATAGATGACTTAATTTTATCCCTTATTAATTCAATAGCGCATTTAGATTCGCTTTCAGTGACACTCTCAGATGTGGAATTCAAATTCAGCGTATCAATGACCATTACCGATAAATGATAACTCACATGGGGCTTATATTAGTGTCATTTCGATCAGCTTGGTAAATAGTTAGGTTATTTGAACACGATTTTCATTGATATAAATATTTTTTTTCACAGAGTTAAAAGTAATAATTTGATAATTTTTGTGTTTAATTTTAGTCATTGATCAAGAAAAAACAGATGACGATGTTTTCCTATTTTTTACATAAATTTTTTAACCTTTTATTTCGTTTAAGGAATGTAATTATTAACTTTACTATTAATATTTGTGACCTTATGATGCTCTCCTTCCATCTGCTATTTCGCGTCCCCTTTGCCCTGTGTCTTATTTTTGCTTATGTCTATTTGTGATGAAACTGCTATTGAACAGGTATGACTATTTATTATTCTTCATATTTTATTATCTAGGCTATTACAGAGCAAATTAAAGGCATATTAAAAGTTAATAGTTATAATAATCTTCATGAATCACCATATCCTGAAGTAGCCGAAGTAATGAACAATTACTCCTCTAACATTGTTCTTTTACGACAAACTGATGAGGTTCGTGAGATGCAAACAGTTCTCAGAGACACGTAAAATTCAAAACATTCCAAATTATTTATTTTTAGAAGCACTCCCAGAAATGATTTTGTCTTTTACGCTAATCGACTAATTCGTTTGGTGATGGAAGAGGGTTTGAATCAGCTCCCTTTTGAAGAGGTGTCTGTGGTTACGCCAACAGGTTGTGCTTTAACTTTGGCAACTTTATAGTGTTTCTATTTCTTTATATTTGTGGCATGAGTTTCTTTAATCTTTTGTTTTTTTTGTCTTAGGTCAAAAATACGATGGCCTGAAGTTCCTGAAGGGTAATTGTGGTGTTTCCATAGTCCGTAGTGGTGAAGCCATGGAACGTGGGTTACGTGATTGTTGCCGAGCTCTGCGAATCGGAAAGATTCTCGTTACCTCTCCTGAAGGATTTGGTCAATCTCGCTCGCATCCACGAGCAGTTTACGCCAAACTCCCACCTGGTATTGAATCTCGCAAAGTCCTCCTCATGTATCCCACTCTGAGTAAGTAAAAAGGTGGTCTTTAGCCACTTATGTCAGTTGTATATTCTGTGAACTAAGAATGTATTTTAATCTTAACTGTCAATGTGGGCTCTGGCTAATCAGTAAAGTTACAGTTATTTCTCTTTCCACGATCTTTGCCATTATGTGGAAGGATAGGGCCACCAATGAGCTTTAATTTGAAAAAAATGCTCTTACGTTTATCCAATAGCAACATTTAGGTTACGAAAGTCCTTTTTTGACGTCGTTTTTCCAAATGACTTTTTTTGAGTTGGAATCTTAATTATATTCAGCATTTCAGTCAATGCTAAGGTATATGGTGTTTACCTGCGGTGTTCGTCTTTTATGCCTTATTTGTTGCCAAGGCTCAATGATTAATTTGTCTTTTGTGCTCCTATCTTTGGCTTGAGTTGTCTTTACTTTGAACGTCACGTCATCGTTATAATAAAATTATCTCTCCCCTTACCCAAAGACTGTTTAGCGTGAAAATGATTTTCTGCTTAAGTTTTCGCTTAATGGCCTTAATTTATTCATCTTATTGGTTCAAATAAATGTCTAGCGATAAATGTGGTGGGTCAATTTAAAATTAGCTGAGTCTGTATGAGTGGCAATTAATAAGTCCAATGCAGCGCGTATCATACCTTCCTAATCTTATTGCTAACTTGTGTATCATGCAATAGGGTCACTTGGCTTAATTAACTGGAAATTGCTCTTATACAATGAATTCCTTCCATTATTGAAACCCTTTTCATATAATCTTATTGATGCAGATTAAAAATCGTTTTTTTCTATAGAAACGGGAAATACAGTTCTTACGGCTTTGGACTTGCTTCGATCATACAACGTTTCTCCCAAGAACATAATTCTGCACACACTTTTTGCGTCGCCCCAAGGTTAGCTTTCCATTTATTTTCTATTTAAAATTAATCGATTATAATACATAACTTCACTACGTTAATTAGGTCTGAAGAATGTTATAACTGCCAATCCAGATTTAACAATTGTGACCTCCGAAATCCATCCTGTCGTCCCTGGCCATTTTGACCAATCATACTTTGGTACTGTTTAGATGCAGTAATGGATGTTAATTGTAATATGCCTATACTCAATTAAGTCATCCTAATAACACTACTATTAATTAGATCATCGCACCATTTTGCTCGTTTGAAAAATTGTACCGAAGTGGGTAACTGGTTGACATTATATAGAAAAAGTTGAATGTAGCATTTGTTACAAACCTTTCAGAAACTAAAATGCTTATGAACATGCTAAAATCTGTAAAAAGTTGGGGATTTCGAATTAGAGTAATTATTAGAAGACGGGATATGGAGTTGGGGAATTTGTAGAGAATGGAGCTCCAAGAAACTGTTCTGTCGTTATCAAATAAAGATTCACCAATGTGAACTAACACTAGAGCAATAAAGAAATGCGGAATAGAGGTGTGGTTCGTTAAATGCCTGGAGGGCTGTTTTATCCAATAAGAAAAATATGCAAAAGATCACAGAAGCCATTTCAAGTAGGATATATTTACAAACACACCAAATTTTCCCTGGACAAATTTCATTCATCGGTTTTATTAGGAGGGTTGGACAGTTTTTCTAAAAGTTCGTCAACCTTGGATTGGAGTCGTCCGACCACGCCTTGATCGACAAATAAATGACATTCATCCAGATCGGATAAGACAAATTGAGTACCGAGAGCAAGATTGTTAGACAAATGGCAGAGAAATTGTTTCATAGCCGGATCGCTAAACCATAGTCACATAAATAAATTTTACCACTTGATAAGAACGCCCTTTATGACATTAACCATTGCTGAATTAAATTGGTATGCTGCTGACCTTGCTAAGGAAAGCATACTTCCAATGAGAGTAAATGTTTAAGCAATGAAACATAAAATTTAAAATATAAAAGCGAAAAATTAAATTAAAATTAAACACATATTTATCAAATAATAATAAAAATTGCTCAATAAAAATATTATTTAAAAAAATTAGAATAACATTATTTTTATTCACATTTGGAATATTATCTTTTCAAAGAAAAAATAATTTTTCTTTTAAACGTGCATCTTTAACCGCTGCTTGTGTGAATAACCGCTTGAACAATTTTACTGCTATGTGGTATGAAATTATCCCATCGTTCGCTATTATGCTTGGCGCTGCGGCTATGATGAATCCGTTATGTAAAGGTGCTGCTTATCTCCTTTACGGAAGAGTGAGTATTGTATTGCTTATTTTTACAAAATTATTAGTGGGACGGTCCGGATTTTTTTAGCCAACGCGGTGAATTTCGGATTTTCTTAAGAGATCGCGATGTCGCTGGCACTAATTGGCATATGAAGGGCCTTGAAACCATCGAAGACTAAGCTGCTCCTTGCATTAATAATGCTTATTATTTTCACGTAGTGCGTTCTCATTTGTAATTGAATACATTATATCTATGCATTTCATTTGCTTTATTTTGTCGGTTGTATATATATATATATATATATATATATATATAAGTAGTCTATAAACAGTGTCTATTTAAGTTAGTCTCCCAAGTCCTTAGTTATTTTTCTTGTAGATCAAATTTTAAAGTCAGAATTGCCAACTTATAATATATTCCGAAAAAAATAATCAGGATGTTCGATAAGAGGGGAGGGTAATCAAACAGTTTAATGAAGAGCTAAAAGTCCAATTACGGCATATTGGGTTGCGATTGTTCCGAAAGCACAAGGTTGTAATCAAACCGCGGAAACATTGATGGAAGTTGGTATTCTAAATGATGAGCTATATTTGGCAGTCCCATTCTTTCCAATTGCTTTAAAAGGTACAAAATACTTTGTAATTTTTTTAAATGTTTCTCATTTTTATCAGTTAACTACTAATTACCTTAATCATCCATGGAAAGGCGATACTTGCACAATCTGTCGCAATTCTGTCCCGAGCAGGATCTGCGTTTCGGAGGAGAGACTGATAGCTTCCCTTTGTGGAGATATTATCAATCTAAAAGTGGGGAAAAAATTGAGATCTTTCTTATACAAAATTTACCCCCTTTTTATGGGTTGACCCTTCCGTGTTAATTCATGCAAAGGCCCTTTAACATTAAAGATATGATAGAGGGCAAGGATGTCTATAAAATCAACTTGTACAGACAAGTGAGCAAAATGGAGGTCTTAGATCCTCATAAACAAACTTTTTTGCTTGTAAGCCAAGTTAATAATCGCTCAGAGAATGTTCATAAATGAACAAAGCTAGTGTCAACTAGTACTGTTCTTCATTTTAACACCTGGGGATCAAACCGGTGATCTAAACCGAAATGTTTCCGTTTTCCTTGGGGTTCTTACTTTTGTTTATTACAAGTTAGTGCTAAATCATGTTCATTGGCTGTCTCAATAACGTGTATAAATATTCAGTTATGCCCAATCATACCTGATAACTGAGGCGGGTCAAAGCTTCGAGAAGAGGTAATTGAGGATGAAGGACAAATAGGTGCGCCAACCAGAAGAGTTCAAAGCTTGGTTTAATTTTCTCAACTAAAGGTACAGTTAGCCCCAGTGTGGCTGCCGATTTTGTATCTTCACAATCGAAGAAATTTCTCATAGGACGATGAATAGATTCTGGTTCGGCGTTACTCAACAAAAAGAGATAATGTATTCGAGAAATGATCTCTCGAAGACAGTCTAAAAACATATTACGGTAAATGGGGGCCGATTTTGGTGCCAACGCAATTTGTTCGCAGAGACATCGTCCATAAGTGCAGAGAACTTCTATTGCGGTGGCCCGGTTTGCTAATTGCTTGGCTGACATTTGCTTTATCTTTTTCGTAGCGGTGCTTGCGATTTCATTTCCAGCTGATTCCACAGATCTATAGATGTTTTTAGATAAAATATATCTAGTCTTACACATCCGCGGTGTTCTCAGCGATGGTGGTCGCTTGGTTATAAATTAGAACTGGGATACGTGACTTAAGGGCACTGTCATCACAGCTAGCTATCAAAGCGTTACCGTCTTTTGGAAGAAGATATTTTAATGATTCATCAAGTGACCCCGATTCGGCCATTTCCACTACACGTACTGTTAGCTCCTTCATGGCCAAGTTAACCTTTTCCCAAACTTCCAGACGATTTGGGTCAAAGACACTACAGGATTCGACCGTTTGGAAAAACTTCAGTACGTGCGACTGAAATTCGTCTTTTGGTGGCTTGCTTTTCTCAGCACCCCCCTTTGAATCAGACACAAAATATTATTAAAAAGGCGCATATTGGCAATGGTAATAGCAAAGGGAGGAAAGTCAACTTACATCCTTATTTTGCTTCTTTTGCTTTGGAGGATTTTCACGTTGTTCTAGAAAAGCAAATAATAGGAAGTTCATTAAACCGTATTATACTGCCCTGTGAGTACATACTCCACGCTCCTATGGAGATATAACTATATTTCGAGGAAGACAACTCAAAGCACATTCGAGTCACACTTGGATGCTCTTTTGGATTACTTTTAAAAATGATTTCTATTGGGAGACCAGAAACCAATAAAAACGGAAAAAAGCAAAGTAGCATGTATGAGACAAGGTAATCAAGATGACCGGACAGTGCTATCGATTTGTCTCTAAAAGCACAAAAGTCGACTTTAAGGGCGATGGAAGAAAAAAGGGTGAAACACTAGGACTACTAAGTGGGAAAACGAAATTTGGTTTGACAGACGCGATCACTGATCATGAGGGGCAACTATTAGCGGGGACTTTTTCAATGGACAATTCTCACTAAAATCTCTGCCTTATAAGGGACAAGGGTTGTTGAAATACCACTTATCGCAATACTATCTTTCACATTAATGCCAGATATAATGCGTGTTTCTTTAAGTATTAATTGTAAATAGCAACAAATATTGCTCAGAGTTGAGCCGAATTGTCGAATCCTACGGATTAGATTTCTTGAGCTCTTATCACACCTGCAGATAAGCATATAATTTTCCGAATAGCATAATGTGCAATACAAGTACTAATAAGCGAGCATACTAATCATGTAAATGTTAGCAGAACAAAGAGCAATAATATTGTAGTATGGAACAGATCACTGCGCCACAAATGACATCAGATGTCCAATTCGTTAGACCATCCATACGCAATGGACGAAGCTAGCAAATCACTCCTAGTCAATGATATTAGGGAAGCACGGATACTCGCTTAAAGATGCCGTATGCCAAAAGGATGTCAAATAGGGGGAGAATAGTGCCGAAGTCAAAAGATATTGCCATCATGAGGCCATTGATAAGTGGGACAGTGGCCGCTTTTCATCACCTTATTGACTCTTAATCGGCCTCTTATTAATCTTTCAGATTATCCTCTCTTATGAAGATGACTCTCAATAAAGGCTTAATTAGATCACGCCTCCAGCCGTAGAATTCTATAGAAAGCCTATTTTCAATTGTCTCCTTCTCTCTCTCTCTCTAAGCTAACATTCTTATCAGTCCTTTTCCACAAATTGTGACAACGGCTTGAACAGAATAAATAAGCTCGATGTTGTCTGTACACGTACCTTAAGGCTGGAAGGGGACTGTGGCGTGCCTATTTTAGTAGGCCCCACTTTAAATTCACATTTTAGCAAAATCCGCATTAAACTTTCATCATTTAAATTCTTCCTATGGCTATTCTCTTTACACTCACTGTGACTAAATCATTTTTGACCGGGTAAAATGTTGGCACGGGGAAGTCACTTTCTTGATGAGCTGAACTTAACTTAGTATTGACATGACCCCAATTATTACTCTCAATTATGCTAATCTCTCTCTTTAAAATCGCCTTATCCCCCATTTTTTGCCTGTCACAATACCTTGACCTACTTATTCTAAACAATGATATCGTAAATGACATCGATTTCAAATTATAGCCAATCTGATTATGATTGACTTTCTAAACGAATTCTCTAGAGCGCATAATCCGATGCTCTTTGGTCAATCGACATATGGTTGTATCTGGTCATCTGCAACAAAAAAGGGCACTACAGCTTCTGACGAATGCAAACTCACCATTTCGAGCCACCTACACCTACCAATTGCGGCTTGGTTTGGATAGAAAAAAACCCCTCTCGGCTCTACCTACCATTAGTTGAGCACAGTCTGCACTGTACTGATTCCCAGATGATGATTTTGGAATTGGTTGCTCATCACCCCATTGAAGGATAAAACAATCAACTTCACTTTACTAGAACTGCGTTTCCACTCCACACTTTCTAATTTCTATCTTAGTGCTCTCTTGTAATTACTTACAGTTTCACAATGTGTATATCTATATCTATATATATAGGCTTTACATTCAACTCATACTGGGTAGGGACTGTCATCGTTAGGGAAGATCAATTTCCCTGGACGACGGAGGTATCTTTAATGTCGCTTAAGTCAGACTGTGTGCGTCTATTGCAGCACACCATGCGGCAGCAACTACAAGCAGACAACTGACGTCAATTAAAGAATAGTACTAGACATGAATCCTGGGTTATTTATTGGTAAATTTGGGAGCCTTCCCGCCCACTCCCGTACCGATATAGCAACAGGAGTGTCTGGACCTATTCCTTCTCGATGCCTCCGGTCCACATAACTTTATCATAGGCGCGGCCTATTTTAAGCTTAATAAAGGTATGAAATGGTAAAAATGACAACAAAAGCTCTCGAAATTGAGATGAGCCGAAACGCATAGAGCATAAATGGAAACCTCAAATCTTACGACATTAAAGACGCACTTTCTCAACATGTGTAATCAATGATATCTGAGAGTAGTAGATTCTAAGCCACCAAGCACATGGCCACTGAGTGACTAGAAGCTAACGGAACTGGCAACATCACCAGCTATAATAGAGAAGAGGACTTGCCAGCACGCAGACCGATATATTAGCAAAAGTGGACGACCAATGTGAGACTAGGAACTGGAATAGTTCCACCAACATTCCCTTGATTTAGACCACGCTTCACATAAATTAATAGCAAAGCGACTTTTAAGGAAATGAAATAGGAATTCAGAGCCACTTACGGTATTCAAAAATAATTGAATGATCTCAACAAGAATGGATAATGAGAAAAAGCCCGCGAATCACAGCTAGGCATTGCTAGTAATACACACTCAACCTACTTATTTCGAATGCTGATATCCAATACTTATAGGAGTCGCTAAGACCAAAATGACCAAGAGCAATCCAACGGAAATACAACAGATCCTCAGCCTGCAGTCCAAAGACTCCTTTCAAGGGGGATTTCACATTTGTCGTCATTGAAGGTGGATTCCTTGGCCCAACGATGATTTCTAGTGGTAATTTCACCTGGAATGTGGCAAAATTAACAAGCAATAAAAAATTAGCCAATACGGGGGGGGGTAGATTTTCTTGCTTCATTCACATGTCTGGATAGGATGGAAGTTATCAAGCTGCATTGTTACAAACTAAGAGACCGTAAATCGGTTTGCCCATGACTTCCAAATCATTTAGCCTTCTTGTTCTACAACTTGAGAGGTGTGATCGTCATTTACCCCCACATCCACTACCATTTCCTAGTCCACATAGGGCCTTTTGAATTTTGCCTAAGAAGCTAGAATGATGAAAATTGAGCTGGACTTTTCAGTCTAACGCACAGGTTGACTCACGTCTGCCCCGCTCCAGGATTCTGGATTGTTTGTCATCAGGTGAGAGAAATAAGCGAAGCAGTCAACTCTGTTTAGCGTACCTTAATGTGACCCCTTAAATAAGAAACACGTTTCCACTCGCCTAGCGATGGTGCCTGTTCCCTTCTAACTCTACCCACTTCTTCCTTCTGACCACAGTACGCGTTAGCTCCATCTAACCTTGGTACTATCATGTGGAAATGGCAAGGACAATTGTACTATATTGGTTGTAGGGACCACCTTCTGTTTTAGTAATAGGATATCTCTAGATCTATTGATGGAATTTAGTATTGGTTTAAAGCCCTCTCATTATTCAAGGGTCTTAATTTCCCTTGTTATGAGCAAAAAACCACATTACGTTTAGCAAGTTACATAAAAAGGCTAATATCAAGCCTTGTAAAACAAAACAAACCGATTTCTTAAGGTCGCGATGACCATAGTAGGACATTTGGCATTCGAAATAGGAACCAGGAGACACAAAAGATGCGAGACTGAAGATAAGAAAAGGGCACATGAATATTGATTAGAGCAGCATGACTTTATCGCTAAATTAAATTCGTACTTTTCGTCAATGATTCCAAAGTACTCAGTAATACTTTCTCCGGCTGCCAAGTGCCAAGGGATCGTGGGAAAAACTTGCAGTTTACCAATCAAAGGATCCTTCTTATTGCCTTTTGGGACTGAGTCCAAATTTGCCCTCACCTCAAGTATTTCATTGGAAGCGTTCGCGTTGAGCAAAAGTAATCGGGAGCAGGATTTCTCGTAGTCCACATCAGCAAGAGATAGAGTAGCCAAGCTAGAGGAAAGTTCGAAAGTTAGTGGAGGAGTGCTGGTACTGGATAATTGAGAGCTTGACAAATTTAGAGGCCATCGAATGAGTAGAGAGAAAGATGCGAGTTTGTCCAACATATCCGATTCCTTCCCATAGTGACACATTTTCATTGTGTCAGCAACGTAGATCTAGACAATTAAAAACCAATAAATGAAAATTTGAAAGGATTTAGAGTACGAAGTACCCATGATTGTATTTGAGACAGTCTCTTGATTCGATACACACTTATTACTAAATATGCCTGTATTGTTTAAGGATTCTTGCTCAATCGGATCGCTATTAGATTCACATAAACACGGTCCCTTACCAACAAGGCGTATCTGAAACTAGTCTATTGTGCTGTTGGTCGGTAATCATTATTGCTATTACCCGTTGCAAGCGGCAACCTGTAATCGCAAACAATGACTACTACTCAAATGCCGGAGTCCTGTTCATGTAGGGTAAAACAGACGTAAATGAATAACTGGTCATGCAACCACGTTAATTAGTAAAACATTGAAGAATAATGGGGTGTGGAATAGACTTACCTCCACGTGGTGCACCCTGGGCAACGTATACTCATACGGCAAAAATGTCTATTAACTGGCAGTTGACCTCTGACTACAAACTAGCATGACCCCACTGTATGTCATATTCGACTACTTCCACAGTATTCACCTCACCTTTTTTCTACCTTCGTGTTTGTCTTTTACATTTCTGAAACACTCTTCTATTCCCCCCTCTCAACTATTTTTCAATTTGATGTTTCTTCCCCTCTGTGAAGCCCGAAGTCAACTAAAGGGCTACTGATAACTATCAAAACGCCTGCCATTTGATATAAATAAAACATTGAAGAATAATTGTTTCCATCAATGCAGTGCATGTATAATTTGCCTTGAGCTGTAAAAGAAAGTCGGTGACAGAAAAATGGCCAATGTAACCTTCAATGCCATAAAACATGGAATCTATGCATCCAAATTGCTCCATTTTCAAAAAATGGATCGTCGTTATTTGCGTTTCGTCATATCACCTGCTTTCTACATTTACTTTTAATTAAAGCAACCCCTAATTATCCTACTCATCGTTAACACCGCCATGTGAACGCTTCGAGTATGCGATCAACATATGATATTTAATAAATTAATTTCATTAAAACTAGATCTGGCATTCTAGAGACCAAATTTAAGGACTAAGTTTCTTGATCAGGCGAATAGCAGTTGATAGTCTGATGAGTGATAATCAATCCATATTTTTCTTATCCATATAGGAAAGGTTAACAAATGTTGGGGTTAAGTTTAGCGAATGATTGTATCTAACTCAGAGCAGGTGAAATTTATTGCAAGTCCAATAGACCGAAGGTCAAAAAAACCATCTTTACGCCACGGCTTATTCCTTAGATCAATTTAATTAAGCACTAATCAATCAAATCGAACTTATTGATTGCGTTTTACAGCCCGTAATTTTCACATATACACTCCCCACTACTACTGGATACACCTGTCACCTTAACGCTTACGCAAGCTAACTTGAATTCACGGTATTTCAATCTGATCTGATAACTACGTCCAGAAGATAAGTCCCAATGGTGGTGTAGTGATTAACTTATTTGAATGTGATGTTAGAGGTCACGAACTCACTGCTCAACGCTCAATTTTTTCGCTAATAACGACCCACGATGTCAACCATCCACCCAAAATGAGTGCTGTCTTAGGGAAATACGCAAAAGGAGGATGGTGAATCACATCAAGAAATCGATACCTTGCACTACTGCACTTCAATCGGACTTAAACGGGCAGTAGGGATTTAACTTCCTACTCTTGTTAAATGAAAGTGGGTTAGTCAAACACAGACCTGCTAGCATTGGATAGACTCACCTATGAAATAGAAGTATAAGGAGAGAATGAGTAAAAGAACAAATCTGAAATCAATATTCGATCCTAAAGCACAACTCTATGGTTTCAATTTTGAAATGATTACCTCCTTTCCGTGCATACTATATTATTTGTGCTGCGTATCTTTTTGCCCACACTGAACTTTCTCAAGGTCCCAACAGAAAGCTGAAAAAAACAAGACGATCAATCGCCACTGATTTCTCTAAGTAGTTCATTGTCATTGTCGATATGCGGTATAGGCAATTTCTGACAGACTAGCCTTGAGTCAGGACATAAACTGCAGTCGGTGTGGGTGTCAGTAACACTTGAATTCACTAATAAATAGCCTTTGATTAAGTGACCAAAACCACTTGGAGCAATTGCACTTCTGCCGATGACAACTGTGGTCAATTAAATGCGCGACTTGATTTGCCAAATGGACAAAACCGAACTTATTCCAATTAAATCTGGAGCAGTTCACTAACGCTCAGGTTTAAATATCCAGAGCGTCTTAACAACCAAAAAATAGAGAAACAAGGGGAAATGAGCGAAGTTGAGTGAAAAAAAACAGTAAAATATAACTTGCCTTAGCAACAAGGGTGTACGATCCTTTGGCCAATTTAAATCGGTACTTTGGAGAGGCCAGCTGAAAAGAAATATGCGAAACGCGTTAGTGGAATAGATTATGAACAAAGTAGTGAAATTCGTTTTAGTCCGAAGTAAGAGCGATTCCAACTTCAACTCACCACTTGTGACTTGACATAAAAGAGAAAAATACGTAAAAAGATTACATAAATATCTTATGAAAGGAGAGACAAAGAGCTTTGTGCACCCAGAAATGGCTTGAAAGTGAAAGGAATTATAACGGGCAGGAGTGTTTGATAACACTGTAACAAAAAGTATTCATTCACATATGCCAACACGGAAGAATATTGTTAGGGGGTATAATCAAAGTGCATATCGAGCATAGCAGAGAGGTGAAAAGGTCGGTGTACACCACTTGGTTCGCATATTCAACAAAGTAGTTAGTTGAAAGTGAACTTCTCATTAAAGTGTCACCATGTCTTTTAATCCGACGCGAGGAAAGAATCATGTTCGTAAATATTCGAATATACCCCCCCCCCTTATCGTGGTGCCAAACCAAACAACAGATATTGGAATAATGCAAACATTAAAGCAACCTACCACTTGATAGGACCCGTGTCCATAGAAGCGTCCGTAAGAATCGTAGACGTAGTAGACGGTTTGAACTACATCCGACTCATAGAGAAGAGATGTCAATCGTCGGAAGTCAAAAACTATGTTATCTGACTTGAAAGGCTGCAAAATGATATATTTGAAGAAGTATAGACCAGTTTTTATTTCCACTGATTGGGAAGAGCGCAAAATAATTGAAACTCACCGCATCAAAGTAGTACGTTAACGTAAGGCAATGAAGCCCTGGAAGACCAAAGAAACCTTTCTCGTAAGCGACCAATTTCTTATATGATCGAGACGTTGAGGTTGGTCTAAAGGAGAATAAAGTTAAGTGATCATCAACAGCACCCAGAGCTTGTAATAGATAACACGATGACTCAGAAATTATTCTGAGCAGCCACAGAGGGGAACAGAAAGAACACAAAATGACTAGAAGCGTCTCTAGGAGCTCATGCACAGCTATTTCACGCGACTTTACGCCCTGATTAGAAGTTAATAATCACTTCACCAAAGTCTTTCTCTCTCTCTCTCTCTCTCTCTGCCAACTGCCCTATCCCTTTTTCTCAAACCTCTACGACTCCCCAGTGCCACATTTTCGGCTAAATTCCTGGTCTTCTGGCTCTGGAAGGAGCTATTGTATGTTGTTGGCACGAGAAAGGCCACTAGATTCGCATGAGCTTTTCATCAAAGATGAGTTTCACTCAGTTAAAAAGCCCGATGGATATCCGCAGCGCCAGTAGGAACAAATTCGATTCCGGTCTTAACAGATATGTGTATTGATTTTAAGGGAAGAGATAATACATACCTGAGAGGCTGGATCCAGAACTTGGACTCCATTTCAAATTTGATTGTTTCATGGCCGAAATTTGATCTAAGATCAATTGGGAAGTAGGTTTGGGGCAGATGCTGAAAAAAAGAAGAGATAGTATAAACCAAATGTCATGCAGAGGTAATGCATAGGCTTCACGCACGTTGCTATTGAAAAATTTAAAGAAGGCTAGACTATACAGAACCAAGCACATCAGCATCTTCATATACCCTAGTAGTTCAATCAAGAAAGTTGATTCCTTTCATCTTCTTACTCTTTAACACTTCTTTTTCAGCTTCTAGATTTTTATGCACTTACCGACAAAGCCACACACACACACACACACACACATTTAATCTTCTAACTTCTAACCCACTCCTCTAAGCCTTCTGTTATTGCAGTGATTTCCTCGCTTGCCTAAACCAAGTCTTGCAATGAGGACTGATCGAAAGGTTTAGCCTGGGTTGATGTGATAACATGATCAACTCCACTTGAGACTTGTCAACTTGAGTACGATTGACCTCCGCCTACCAACAATTCTATCTCGTTTGCCAATTGACTCAAGTAAAGGCACATTCCTTGTGTGATCTTCTAGGTACTTTGCATGCACAGATCGCGATATTTATATAGAATATGTATAATGCATATACACTTGACTTACAAAGACTAGTTTCTCGGGTCTAATTTCCAAACCATGGAAGTCCAACTTTCCTTGAATTTGACATCTGTCCGGTGTGTCGGAGCCAGGATGTTGAGCCAAGGTGATTTCAACTGTCTCTGACACCCAACTAATGGGAAAGGCGAAGACAAATTCTCCATTGGAGGATTCGTAGGTCAAGGGAGTGCTACTTCGTGATGTAAAACCCACACCTCCAGCATTTCGAGCAATAAGATTAATCCGACGATTACAAACCTCCTCTCCAGTGCCTAGCGCGCTGCCAATCGATTTCGGAAGAACAACTGATAGGGCGAAAGCACTCGGAGTATCACCATCACCGTCAGTGCGTTGAAATCGCAGAACTAGAGAAACATTACAGCACAATCAGATTGCACGACTTAGTGGCAAGCTCATTATTGCTAAAAAAACTGATTATTGATTTGTCCCAATTATTTCTTCCCCCCTTTCTCTGTTTCATTTACACAAACTCCTGTATTTACTCATTATTATATATAATAAAATGAATTCCCACTGATTTCCCTCTGTCTCCTATATTCAACTCAATTCCTGTCATATTCAATTTTTTTAATAATATAATTCGTCGATTCCAGTCTTACTAAATAACTCCACCTAGAAAATAACTGTCTACATTCGGCATACTCAATCGTCCACTCCCAGAATTCAATATGTCTCTCACCAATGTGGGGTTGTTTATCCTAATTCACATTTGTAGTCCAATGAGTGCAACCCATTCCCTCAAGATAAAGATGAACATGAAATATCAGAATCACACATTGTGCGCACAATAACCGAATGGTAAAATTCGTTCGGGTAGTACCATAAGAGTATTCCCACGTATGATTCTCTTATTTCATGCACCAAGTGTACTTGATCCTGCTTTAATTCTCTAATACTACTAATGAAATTTAAGGCCTCAATTTATTTCTAGCATACTTCGAAATATAAAAGTCTACCAAATTTAAATCCGATTTAGTTAACCAACACCGAACGATTTTTCATTTAAACTATATACACAATGGCGGAGTATGTGGTAGACTTACCTCCGAGTAGTGCACCTTGGGCAACGTATAGTCATACGGCAAAAAAATTATAAAACCAACAGTTGACTTCTGACTTCAAACCACCATGGCCCCACTCTATACCACATTCCACTACTTCTGCAATACTCACCTTTCCCCTTTCTCCACCTTTGTGTCTCTCTTTTACATCTGTGAATCATTTTTCTGTCCCCCCCCCCTCCCTCCATCCCCCTCGACTTTTTGTTACTTTAATGTTCCTCCCTTCTGTGAAGTTCAAAGTCAACTAAATGGCTGATGATAACTATCAAAAAGCCTGCCATTTGCTATGGCCTAGACACTAGTCTACATTAGAGGGTAGGAAACCACAGTAACTGGGATACGTAAAATTAATTAGAGAGAGATTTTATTAAAATTGCTCTTTGGAAAAATGGCATTTCAAGATTAGCGTCTGTTAAATGTCATGTGACTTTATTAGTGGTAATTTAATATGGTTATCTTATCTCTTTTTGCTCCTAGATAAGACATCATGATTATAAGTCAAAACGGTGACCAGAATTCTAATTTCAGTTGTCAGTCAAAGATTTCTGGTCATAATAGTAACAACATATGTAAACTTTTCTTTTATTTCTAACGAGATAATTGATTATTTTCATGATACTTGCTTGACATGGAAAAGTAATTAACTAAAAAAGTTAATTGAAATATAGGAATTAGCTAATACCTCCTGCTGTCGAACCTCGTGGGATTCGTACGAACCATCGACAAACCTTCTGCGTGAAGAAGAAGTCGCCCACGAAGCCAAACGTGTAAACGCCATTTTCCCTGTCTAGTTGTGCGCTAAAATGAAATAATTAATCAACAGCCAATGAGAGCTAACAACCTCACTGACATTCAACTAACAATAGTTAAGAGGGGGTAATCGTATAATACAAAAGCTTACAGTGTAGGTAGTTGAATTGTGATTGGAAGATAGGCAAGTGGTTCATGTTGTTGAGAGTCAGCATTGACAAATGCAAGACAAGTGTGAAGAATCTTCGAGGGAGGGTTAAATTCCAATTCCGGGAGGGAGTCCTTGTGGCCTGGAAACGCAGTCGGATCGATAAAAAGGGCCAATCTGCGACTACGCCCTGGAAGCATTATGAATGGTGCGACGCAGAGCCAATCAGGGTGTTTAGGACGTTTAATGTCATTTTCGTCAATAATACTATGGTAACCAACTTGGATGCTGAGATTAAGGCTAAAATTTCGTTTAAATTCAGCTGATACAGCCTGCAAAAATAGGAATAAAACTCGTCAAATTTAATTTACACTCTTGGATTTAAGATAATTGAGACTTGCATCGCAAAATACAGGTTCCAAATCCACTGAAAAGGACATTTTAGGTTGAACATAACTTTTTGAACAGCTAACTTGATTTGGGAGCCAGCCGCTACGAAGCCAAATACCTCGGCAATAAAGGCCTTTGGAGTTCTCAACTATGCATCCCGGTCCATTCACGTGGCAATTCAATCGCCAGCCATAGTAACGATCTACGTGGGTCGCGTTTGGAGAAGGAACAATTTGATTGGATGGAGAAGGACACGAAGATGACGACTGATCCCTAGAGAAAAGTTAAATGATCAATACTACTAATGGCGGTGGAAATCAACCCGTTGCCCACACAGAACTCAATTAATGCCCAAACAATGTTCAACGCTGCCGAATTTTGCCCGAGTCCCAAAAACAGACCATAAATTGCTCATTCATCCACATCGTTACACGGACGCACATCGCGCTTGAGAGGAAAAAAGCATTGAAAACGAAAATGGTTATCAGCCGAGTGATGTTTTGACTAAATACATAGAGTCTTTTTAGTTAAAAAAGCGTTTTGAAGTAACTGCATTTTGTCATATCCCAGTTTCAATATCCGAGTATGGGGCACGCCATAGACTTACTTCCGCGTGGTGAATCCTGGACAACGTATATTCATACGGCAAAAATGTCTACAAACCGACAATTGACTTCTGACTTCAAACTACCATGACCCCACTGCATGTACTTTACAGGACTCACCTTACCTTCTTTTCTACTTTTGTGTCTGTCTATTACATCTACAAACCACTCTAATGCCCCCCCTTTCCAACGTTTGTGACTTCGATATTCCTCTCCTAAGGGGCTAATGATAACTATCATATGGCCTCCCATTTGCTATACATAAATAAATAAATATCCGAGTATAAGTCCGCTTTGCCTAAGCAATGTTTATTGAACACATAAACTAGAGTGAAAGAACCTAGATTTCCTGTCACTCCAACGGAGAACAGATCGGTTGAAAAAAGACTCTCTTTATTTTGAAATAGCCCATTCTACGTCACTTAGTGCCTCAAATGGAAGTGCAATAGAGGCATAAAAGTGAGTAAATGTTGTGACAGACAGCTCTCTGCGCCTTTCTAAAATGAATCCTTAAAAACACTATGAAAATAGGCAGCATTTTCATCAATGATATATTTGTGTCAATCTGATTCCTATTCTTCACGTCTAACCGCATTTATCGATCCTCCTGTTTCAATTAAAATGCACTTTTCACTCATTTGTTCAAGCACACACTTGTAAAATTGGCTCATAAACCAGCTTTGAATTTCCCCTCACATACGCCCACGCCGACGCACTTGCCGGCTACCTGCTCCACGTAGGCTTTCCTTATCTTGCTCTCACTCTCTGGAATCCACATTGTGGTGCATCAGACGCACCAGTAGCCTTAACTCCAAATTTTGCGCCATCAATTCTTGTTAACCCAACTCCAAAAGACTTAAAGTTCCCTGATTGAGTGCATATCCTCAATCTACATTTCCGATCATCTCCCAACTTGATACATACTTTCTACTTGAGCTCTGTTTACTTCTTTTTCTAATTACAAAAGCTGGCGTGAAGATAATCTTCTAACAGACGTATTCAACAATTATGTTTGAAACAGAGACTGAATTTTATCCACCACAGACTTGTGCTAATAAATCTAACTCGTTACAACCGTTTTCTCCCCCTCTTATGTAACCACGGTTAAGATTGGCAGAATCACGAAGGCACAGACCACAGAAGAGCTGGATACCACAATCAGGTACCTTGCTACCAGTCCTCCTCCGGTGTTTTCTTCAACCGTCAAAACTAAGAACATCCAACCCAACAACCATGTTCAAGAGTAAAAACTGGCAACAGAATCATTCTCTCCCCCCCCCCCCCCCAAGGAAAAGGCAATCTGACTTTGGAAGAAATAAAAAGGACTCAAGCCAAGTACCTAATGATATTGCGAAGGTACTCGTATGTTTCGCCAACTTGAAACATTCCAGCCCCTTGATCCAATTGAGATAGGTGGGGGAGAGGTTTCGAACAAGAAAAAATGGCGGCTCGCCAAAGAATGAACGGCACACGAAGCGTGGGCTGGCGTTCGCTCTGTCGCAGAGCGGACAAAACTAGGGCTAAAGGGAAGAAGAGGGCAGTCAGTGAGATTGCACACTTACCTAGGGCTCCGGCAACAGAGGGGCTACTCATAGAACTCCCGTTGTGCAAATCAAAAATGGTTCTCTTCCAGGCTGCTACATCTGCTATTGCTCCACCACAAGCTGCTACAGTAAGTCCCAAATCACCGTCCACTGATGGACCCCGCGAACCCCAGCAATATGCCGATGGTACTGGGCTTGATGACTGAAAGTTTGCGAAAAATAGTCAGTACAAGGTTCAAGCGTCATGAGATTGAAGCTCCATAATATTTAGGTATATAAGAAAGGAATTGACCGCTAATACTTCCTAGACTGTCCCTGAGATATTGTTGTGCCTACAACGGCTTGAGCCCAGAATTCTCTCCCTAAACACAAATGCATTGATTGATGTCGTTTCACATTAGACCGCTTTTATACTTCAAGGTCAAGTTCGCTTTGAGCCGGACTGATGCGAGTGAGTTCACTGTTTCTTCTCCCTATTCTCACTCTAAAAGCTGAGATCTCAGGAAAAAAGAAGATGCAAACTCTAGGTTAATAAGAACATCAAATTCGATTATTTTCTAAGGTAGTAAGTATAACAGTGAGGATACGCGATGCTCAGGAGAAGTAATCGAAAAATGCATTGTCTTGAGTAAGGACGGTATATAAAAGCGCGGCGCCTTCCATACCTTGGTGTATCAATGGCACATTTTTCAACGTACACATCTGGCAAATCAGCGTTCACGAGATCAATGTCCATGAATTGATAACCATTGGTGTGGATGACCAACAACCCTGATAAATGGTGTAATGAGGGACTGTAGAATAAATATTCTGTAAAAGTAACTTCAGATTTAATTGCTATTATGAGTTTAGAAATTGTAATTATTAGATTTGTCCAATACATACAATTTCACCAAGATCTCAATCGATTTGAGGAAACTTCTCATGGAGAACTAGGATTCTATCGTCCATTTGGTTTTGTTGACGGTTATCCACATCATAGAGAGTACACTGATGAGCACCGATGTATGTACCAATAAGCACTGGATTTATTGACCAGAAATGCCCAAAACGCTAATGAAGGAGGGAGTTTCCGTAACACTTATTCAGAATAAAGCTATGAATTCAGTGGAATTAATTAAATGCACGCATTCCTATCCTAATGATCGGATGACAACATGTTTTTTATTAATTACTCAACAAAGGAGCACAGGAAACAGAATAGTCAGCTTCACTTAATTTAGCCCTTTATTGCACCCACGCTTTCCAATTCCCAAATGCCCCTCTCAAAAAAATCATTCTTTTCTCCTCACTTCTCATCTGTATCCAACATACACACACGGACCTAATTTTATCTTAAACAATTCTAATTACATTCGATTTGGTAAAAAAAACAAGTAATGGTTTTTTTGTGGAATTTATCTGAGTTATTTTCAGACATTTCAGTGAGCGATTTGTACTCGTCTCTTTCATGAAAGATCAACTTTTGTCCTGCAGAGTCCAACGGCACGACAATTACAGGACTTTTCATGCATAAACTTGGTTCAGCTTTCCAATCATATTTTCCTCATTATCTATGGACGTCAAAACGCTTTCTTATGAGAAGACTTAGGTGTATATGATGGAGGGATTACGATTCAGTGGCTCCAATTTCAATATTATCAAAGCAAATTAGTTCTAACTAATATTAGACTTATAAACAAAGGCTCAGCGAAGGCTCTTTGTCTAAGTAATCAATACATCCCAAGGTACAAGACTTGGAAATAGAGATGGAATAATCAGTAAGGATATTTCGTGTTCTGGAAGGAGAAATGAGGAACAAACATTGGAGAATCAGAGATCAAAGTGCACGTATTTCTAGTCAGTAGCCATGAAATCGTCTAGCGTACGTTCAATGGAGGTGGATAACCAACCACAGCCAAAAGATTGTGCTCGTTTCTGATGAAAGTCGGTCTAGATGTTGGCATCTGTGAAGTAGCGCAAAGAGTAACCAACTTCAAACGTAGAATTTCATGAATTCTACTCAGACATCAAATACACAAGATTTTAGCATTCATTTGTTGCGTGTGATTAGTCTCCAGTGCACACCGACAAATATTGATTTAGTGACCTCTGACTTGGCATACTGTAGCTCTGCGACTGCCGTCCTTATAAACATGCCGACAATAACTTCAGGTTACACGTAATAAAATAAGCAAAATAAAGTTAGGTTGTAAGGTAAACAATTTAAGGAATCCAATTTGCTCACAACCGAATAGGGGAAAACATCAAATATGGTGCGTTTACAATTTCTTCAAAGACATCAATTTTGGATGCTTATTTCCAATGTCTGCATGTCCCTAAAAACTTCATTTCAGGAATTTTTTGGGTGTAATCGACTACAGTTTCATATTTTTCAGTATAAATCGCAGTGATTTTCAAGAGAACCATCCTAAGTTCAGATTACAATAACCAATTCAAAATTAAGAGGCTGCGAAAGAAACCATATCCTGCGGAATTGATTGGACGGTGATGCCACTCCCATCCTTGGAGCTAAAAAGTCATTGGCTAAGACACAAAAGGCGACATTTTTATTCCTCTTATCAAGAGAGATAGATTCACAAGTCTATTATAATTTATTTCACTGAAAATCGTCCAAATGTTGAGATTAATAAAAGAGGATTTGATAGGAGAATAAAAGGGATTTGGAGGAAGATGTACAGTAGGATGAGCTAATAAGATCCGGAGAAGTCAGAAATTACAGTCATTGGCTTAGGCATAATGTCTTAAACGTAGATAAACCAAAATTGAAGATCAAAAGTGGGAATACTCTAAGCCACCTGATTCATTCCTTAACTCAAAATCTAATCACATTATTATTAAAGTTCAATGGAGACCTCGTCCAGTTCAAATCCATGGCACTGCAAGTCACCAAGTCCGTTGCTAAGCAGTAACGTAATCTGTCCCAGTACCCAATCAAACGCCTTCTTTTACCATTTATATTCCTTACATGTTCAAATGCATTTCATAAATTTCATACCCCAATCATGGTAGTTGTCTTGTTTTAAGATACTTCGTAACCAACTCCTATTTTCATCAAAGTTCCTGCACTAAGAATATTATTGAGTGGCCAATCAACTACTATCCAAGTGGAATTCACAACTTACCTTCTTATTTCGATCTTTAGCACTACAGTCAGCATCTTCATTGACTTCTTCTTCTTCTTTCTGCTTTTCCCAAGTTGGTTGCATGTACATGTATTTCATCATTGTTGGTGAGAGTATCGGTGCGACGGCTTATAAGAAAAAAGAAACCAGTGAAAATGAAGAAAGTAAAAACCACCCACCAATTAGACCATCAACAGAGCCCCCAGGTGAACCAACGGTTCCAAGTGATGGACCACTGTTTCCCCCTGACGTAACAAATGCCACATCTGTCTGGGAAACGAACTTTGAGAGATGCGTGTTCATTCGTCTAGAACAAAGGGGAGCTTTACGAAATAACACAAAAATCAAGTACCCGAAGTTAGGCAGAAAAGTCTTCTCGCCAAAGCTATAATTGATGACATCGCAATTCAATTTGGAAGTCCAATTTAGCTGGAAGAGGAAGCAAAACAAAGAAGCGGGAGTGAGATTTACCACTTAAATAGGCATCATGTGTAGCATACACAGGGACTCACAGCAGTCAAAAGGCTGGAAATGGTTTCCATACCCTTAAGGGAAGTGTTGGCAATTTTTATGCTCACAACTTGAGCGCCAGGTGCTATTCCATTCTGATTGCCATCTTCTACGAGATGCGAAGTCTGGAAGTGCTCGTGGGAAGAATCAGTTGGATAATAAGCCGCAGCAATGGAAGCTACATGGGTAGCGTGAGATCCAGAATTGGTTACAATTTGTAGAAGGTCTCCATCATTGAGAATTTTTACGGTGAAGTAGAGGAGGGCTAAATAGGAACAAATACATCAGAGGCTTAGACGTAGAGGATAAATATGAGGTAGTTAATGCTTACTATCATTGCCGAAATGAGCGTATTGACGACCAATACTGAAGTCCTTCAAGAGTGGGAGATCAGCTATAGTGGTTGGTGTGTCTTCATAGGGACTTGTATCCACACAAGCGCTAGAAAGAGAAAATATAGCCTTAATGGAAATTAGAAACTTTGTGTTGGTGGTGGTAGGGCATAGGTCAACATGCACATTTTCATTGGCAGAGATCACAAGTTCAACACCCATCGATGCACAGCTGTACTTATTGACAGGAATAGAGAGAGGTTGGAAGATGGCTTACATCTCTCCAAAATAGACCTTATAAGAAATCTTCTTTCGACTTTCGTCCTTCCACTCCTCAAAGAAATCCCTTAACTCAAATAACCTGAATTTATTACCCTTATTTCAGTTAATCGATAAATGTTAAGATAGTGTTAGTATGGAGCTAATTTCAGTTAAAAACTAGTTTTCAATGAGATAGGGGATGGTCTCATAAACAAAGATTTGCATTTTTTTTTAAATTTAATGTCAATTTTCAAAAAAAATTGTTTATAATTTTATTGAGATACCAGAAAAAAGGTACATCCTTTAAGTTGCATAATTTTAGAGATTGGATGGTGGCACTACCAAAAAATCTTCTCTGCAGTTTTGACACAAGCGGAAATTTTAGACCTCGAAAAGAAGGCAACAACTTTGCCTAACCATTTCCATCCAATTAAGATGGATACTTTTGTAGTTAGAATAAAGTTGGTATTTTAATGGAACTAGATTTGCTTAGCATTGGGGATATTTTATATCCCCCCCCCCTGCAAGATGATGTCAGGCCGTCAAATATCAGAATTTTATAAGCAATTCATGGTCCATTAAAGCTCATATTAAAATTAAAAGCTAAGATAAGGTCACCAACTTAAGTTGAGTAAAATTCCGATTTCTCAAACCGATTTTCTTTCTCCTTTTCTCATAGCCTACAAATTTACAAACAATCAAAGGCCCGTTTGGCGAATATGTAACAAGACTTTGAATGCAAATATAAATATTGAAACCACGATTTAGTCTGAATATTCTAAATGTCGTAAGCACTTATCGATCTGAAGGTGAACGATAGCGAAGACCATAATGATTAATCAACTTGTTCACAAAACCAGATTGGTATCCATTCCTACCTGCATTTACCCACTTTTCATCATTAAAGAAGGAGCAAGGTTGCACAATCCAAATCCCTAATTACCCCCCTCCCCTCTTCTCGAATCTGGACACTTTGTCGATGGGTATCGCAATCACAAATGAAAAGTGCAAGTTCTCACTAAGGTAATTGATTCTTTGCACTCTGTTAAAAATACTCGCAAATTTTGGCCTGCATCACAGACTCCGCCTTTAAGTTGCCGTTCATCAAGACATGCTTATCAAATCTACAGAATTTCCGCTTTGTACGACAGGTTAGACTAATCGTTTCATCCATAAGTCTCTTTTGTCCACTCCTCATACACCCCACAATCTCGGCCTCCTTCCAATTGTGTTTGTAATAAAGACCGTAGAGGAACAATAGCTCAGAAAAACTTCTCCGTTCCACACAGGTGATCCCACATCTATCACCCACTCTTTATCAATGATGTAACAAAAGGGAAAATGGAGTGTGCGATAGACTTACCTCTACGTGGTGCACTCTGGGCAACGTATACTCATATGGTAAAAAAGTCTATTAACTGGCAGTTGACCTCTGACTTCAAACTACCATGACCCCACTGTATGTCATATTCGACTACTTCCACAGTACTCACCTCACCTTTACTCTACCTTTGTGTCTCTCTCTTTTACATCTTTGAAACGCTCTTCTGTTCCTCCCCCTCTCGACTTTTTTCACTTTGATGTTCCCTCCCCTCTGTGAAGCCTGAAGTCAACTAAAGGGCTAATGATAACTACCAAAACGCCTGCCATTTGATATAAATAAATAAACAGAAGGGAAAAGTTTCCTTCTAGCGCACAAATGTGAAAATTTTTAGCCGAGAAATTACAAATTACCAGCTTATTAGTGGCTATTGTTTAAATTTGCATGCTCGCTTAAACGCGTTACATGGA